AGGTGACTTTATTTGGTAAAAATGCATTCAGGCTCACTAGTGTATTCAAGGATGACCACTTAGTGAATTGTCTTTTTTTTTTTTAAGATTAAGAGTATTGAAGAGCAGGTTGAGCTACCTATGGCAAAACTCCACCATTCCTGGGAAGGCCACAATTGGCAAGAAAAGCAGGTAGCAAGCTTTCATCAAGTAAGTTGAGATTCCTGTGTTTGCAATCTGAACAGCTCACTGCTGAGCTGGCAGGGCAACTGCTCTGAGCACAACTCATTACAGAACTGCTCTTGCAGACCTTCCCTGAAGGAAGCACTATTGTGGTCAGAAGCATTCCAGGAGCTGCTGGCCAGCAAATGTGAATTAGACTTTAATTTAATCCATTGCAAGTATCACAAGAGTGCAGAAAGGCTGTGTCCTCAAATGAGCAGCTCACCAAGGAGAATTTGATTTAACCTAGAAGGTCTGTTTATCTCCATTTATTTCTCAGCATATTGACACCAGGTGGGGAAGATAAATCACCCTTCAGCTCTGCAATGGCAGTGCTCTTGGTTGAGGCTGAGGATGCTTTTCATTGCATGCAGTGTTTGAAGAGACTTAGTTCCCTGAGGATTTATGCCTCTCCTGTAAATACATTTTTGGCATTAAAACAAATTGAAGTATTTATGTTTTAGTAGTATGGAACCAACTTAAGTATTTTGCCTACTGGCACCTTTGTCTTTAAAGAGCTAAATCCGCAGGATTACAGGATTGAGTAAAAACTAGAGAATAGCTAATCCTAGTACTAGAAAAGCACAAGGGATTATTTGATCATTAGCTTCCTCATATTCCTCATGTTTCTTTTTATTTTTCTACCTTCTCTTCCCTACTTACAGATGGTCTGGCTGTATTGGAGGCTTTTCTAAAAACTGAATTCTGTGAAGAAAATATAGGCTACTGGCTGGCTTGTGAAAACTTCCAAAAAGATCCACCCACCCCAGAAGCTATCCTTATATCCAAGATAAATATATGCACTCTTCTTAGAAAAAGGCCCAAAAGAGGTAAGACACAATTCCTCATTTCAGCATAAAGTGTACACTCTTGACATCAAGAAGCAACAGAAGAAGTAAAGACATAAGACTAAAGCAAGGGCCAGGGAATCTGAAAAGCTTCCTCTCCTGGTGTCCTGGCTTTCAAATAAGTATCCCCCTACCTGGCAGGTGAAGCTCATCACACATTACAGCTTCTGATTTTCACTTTCAAAGAGCAGAGCCCCCTTCTCTAACAAAGGATAATGATTGATCTTTTTTTCAGATGAACATGCTTTCAAACCAAAACTCTCATTATCCAAAATATACAAGAAGCTACAACTCCCAGGTTTACAGCTGCCTGGAAAAGGGTGTATTGCTTGATGGAGAATAACTTTTTGAAGTTGTATTTATTTGCAAGGCAGAGTTACAGAGAGAAAAAAAGAGGGAAAGACAGAGGTTCACTCCCTTCCTCCAGGTCTCCCATATGGGTGCAGAGGACCAAGCGCTTGGGCCATTCTCTGCTGCTTTACCCAGCAAAGAGCTGGGGAAGAAGTAGAGCAGCTGGGAGTCAAACTGGCATCCATGTGGGATGTTACTGCTGCAGGCAGCAGTGTAACTTGCTATGCCACAGCACCAGCCCCCAGAAAGAACTCTTATCCATGGTCTTTCTTTTGAGTCAGAATGCTACCAGGACTTGTGTTGAAAACCACAGATCACCACAGAACCCCATGAGAAGAAAAAGGAGCCCCAGAGTAGAGTACATATTCTGTTTCCTAAGGCAGAAGATTTTGACTGCCAGAGACTGACATTCAATTCAGCCTGGGTGTTTGGAAAACATCCCTCACAACTGTTGATTCCAGTTCAGGTAGTAAATCAGGAAGCTGGTGACTCTCCAGGAGATACCTGTATCAGAACAGCTTCCACCACCGTGAGGACACAGGCAGGAAATACGTGGTCTGAGTGGGGTGGGTCTCGCTGGAAAAGCAGGACTCTGAGATGGAAGATAATGCAATGGAATGCTGTTGATCTAGACTCACTTAAAATCAATAGGTCTGGGATTCTGTGGCCTTAGCTACCTAGCTCTACATCTTTCCTTAAATCCCTCCATGTCACCACATGGTTTTAGTTCTAGGTTTTAAGTCCAAACTAATGTATCTTGTTTATTATGTAGACTCATCCATTCTATTGTTGTGTATTGCTGAACTGGAAGTGATATTTGAATTGTTAAATGGTATTTAAAATAGTGAGTGCTCATGTGTAGAAAACCACAGTGGCTGTTCCAAGTGCCAAGAACTCTTGAAGGCAGCTAAGCTTTGAAGTGGTCTTTGAATATTTGAATACATTTATTTTGATAAATAATCTCATTGAATACTCAGAGTCCAGGTGTGAGTTGATTTGATTTTGGTAACTGGAAATATGAGCAACATAAGATCTTTGTAGTAGAGAAGAAGCATGCATTACTGAATCTGTGCAGGGAGAACTGACAGCCCCCAGAGCTGAGATGAGGGTGGCAAGGAAGATGCTCTTTTCTAAACCTAAGTCACAGCACATCTTTAGAACGACCCAGGGTTAAAATTACTAACAGAATCTTTTATTAAACATCAAGGTTTTTGATGAGAATAGAACATTGACCTAAATCCCTTCTTGAGGATTAAGAACCAGCTAAATAGGAGGCTGCAGTGGTGACATCGAAGGGGTTGGGGCCCGGGATCGGGGGTCGCAGAATGGCTGGCCCAGAATGGCTGGCCCAGAATGGCCACGGGCTCCCCGGGTCATGGGCCGGCACCGCGGCATGGGGCTCCAGAGGTCAGGGGAAGCCTGCTGGGCCACTTCCTGCTTCCTTCCTTGGGCAGAGGTCAGAGATCACAAAGTGACCTAAAGTGACCAGTTTGGGGCAGAAATCCCTGAGGCACCACTGGGTCCTGGGCCTGGCCCACGGGTGGGGCAGAAGCAGAGGGGAGATGCACAGGGCCTGCGGGCCAAGGCTGCAGGTGTTCCTGTTGGCCCCTGGGCACCCACGGGGCCTGAGCCCCTTTCACAACGGAACCACATGTGCACCTCAGACCATTTTTACCCCTAATTCCACTTTAAAGAAAGGTTTATCAAGGTTGGCGCCATGGCATGGGGGTGCACCCACAGTCTGCAGGGCCCGCATCATGGGTGCCAGTTCAAATCCCTGCCACCCCACTTCCTGTCCCACTCCAGCCAATGAGTGCAGCGCTGATGGACAGGTGCTTGGACCCCACACCACGCAGGAGACCTGGGGGGGGGCGCCTGGGTCTTCAGCCTCACCCAAACATTGGGGGATCAAACCAGCAGAGGGAAGACCCCTGTCTCTATGCCTTTCAAATAAATCTCTTAAAAGAACCATCTAAATAGAAGTGAACTGTATGGAGACAAACACCAATGTTACATTATTCAACTCTCCACTGCTCCAATGAACAAAGAAGACAAATAAGAGGGATATAGGCCTCCCCTTTTTTGTTATCCTTCCCTTGGTTCCAACTAGCATGGGCTTCCAGGAAATGTACAGGGAATCCATTCTCTTCTGTGGTCAATACATGATCTCAGAATTTCCCTTATTCATTTGCCTAACAGATTTTGATTATGTTACTCTAGGTAAAGGGAAGGCAACAGAACTGCCCTTTTCCCCCATTTTTAAAATCTGTTATTTATTTGAAAGGCAGAGTTACAGAGAAGGGGTAGAGAAAGATCTTCCATCTGCTGGTTCACTTCCCAAATTGGCCTCAGCTGAGCCAAGTTAAAGCCAGGCGCTTCGTCCAGGCCTCTCATATGAATGCAGTGGTTCAAGCACTTGGGCCACCTTCTGATGCTTTCCCTGGCACATTAGCAGGGAGATAGATTGGAAGTGGAGCAGCTGGGACTTGAATCAGCACCCATATGGGATGCTGGCACAGCAGGCCATGGCTTTACCCACTGTGTTGGTACCGTGTGTGTGTGTGTGTGTTTGTATTTTTATTTCAAAGACTCATTTATTTATTTGAAAGGCAAGGTTAGAGAGGGAGAGACATAAGAAGACAGATCTTTCAACCTCTGGTTCACTCCCCAAATGTCCACAACAGCAGAGGCTGGGCCAAGCCAAAGCCTGGAGGCTGAACAGTGGATAATCTTTAGTTATTAATTTAAAATGAATAGGCTGTAGCTGGTGCTGTGGCATATAAGGTAAAGCCACCACCTGCAGTGCTGGTATCCCTATGGGCACTGGTTCATGTCCCAGCTGCTCTGCTTCTAATCTAGTTACCTGCTAATGTGCCTGGGAAAGCAGCAGGAGATGGCCCAAATACTTGGGCCCCTGAATCCATGTGGGAGACCTGGAAGAAGCACCTGGCTTTGGATTAGCCCAGCTCCAGCTGCTTGCAGCCACTTGGGGAGTAAAACAGCAGACAGAACATCTCTGTCTATTTATGTGTCTCTCTATAATTCTGTCTTTCAAATAAATAAATAAATCTTTAAAAAAGTTTATTAATGTATGCTATAATCCAATCCAGTAAAAGTAAGAGAAGCATTAAATACTGCTACCTATATTTTTAATTTTTTTTTATTTTTAATTTTTTTTTCAGTGTTCACAGGAACTTTATTAATAAGGGCAAAAACCTGAAAACAATCCATGTCTACAGTGGGTTAAAGTTAAACAAACCACGGTCCATTCACACCAGGGAATATTACTCAGCAAAAAAAGGGAACAAGTTACTGAGACATGGAACAACTCAGATGGATTTTTAGAGAATGTGCTGGGTCAAAGAAAAATCAATCTCAAAAGGATACATTCTGTATGATTTCATTTGTCTGAGAGATGGAGAACAGATCAGTGGTAGCCAGAGGCTGGGTCAGGGAGGGAGGTGGCTGCGGCTACAAAGGGGAGGCACAAGGGAACCGTGTGATGGAACTGTTTCTCGCAATGTTGGTCACATGAACCGACATGTGTGATAAAGCTGCATAGGACTAAACACACACACACACACACATGAAAAAAGCTCAAGCAGCTGAACACAAATATTTTAATTGTCGAAAATGAAATTTCCTTTCAGAGTTATCTACAGGTCAAAGCTCTCTTTTATGAGGTGTCACATCCATGTCCCTTTGGAGAGACATAAAATTACGAACGGATATCACGAGAAGCCATGTAAACATTTCAGCTAAGGGCCATAAGAAAGGGAAGGGTATTTTTGCAAAGAAACCTGAGGGGACAATGAGAATGAAACAGGTTTCATGTGGTCATACAAATCTTCATAAAAGAACTGGTGTGGGAGCCCAAGCTGGTGAGTGAGTGGGAAAGGGAAAGAAAATGGTTCGAACAGATCACACGAGGAAACCCAGTGCAAATGCTGGCTTTGGCATCATCTAGGTAACCCCTATTTTTTGTCTTAGGTGACTCTAAGAATAGTCCTATTGTTGCAAAATGAGTCCAAATCCTACCAAGTTAAAAAGAAGTCCCTCATTGACTTGTAGGTTGTAGGTGGTACTCCGACGTGCCTTGGTGGTGCTGGTGGTAGGATGCCTTAGGCCAGGCACGTCCCAGCAATGTTCTGGCTGAGATCCAAGGTGGGAGGAGACTGCACCTCATTATTCAATCAACTTCTTGGCCTTGAAGAAGCGACGCAGATAGAAGACCTGCCAGGTGGCTAGTCCGATGAGGCAGAACATTGAAAAGATGCTGAAGTACAAGACCCGAGTGTTTATTGACTCGTTGGTGTCCCGCATCTCCTCCTCTCGCTTCTTCATGTAAGCGAAGTCATTAACGATGGATTCGGAAAGGTCTTCTAGCCACCGCAGCTCCACCTGCAGCGGCTTCAGCTTCTCAACTTTTGCAATCTCTTCGTAATTTTTTGCCTCCACTCCGTGCTTCATGTCTAGGATCACGAGTTGGTCAGGTATCTGCCCTGTTCCTGAGAAAGAAATCTTATTTTTAATTTTTTAAAACTTTATTTAGTGAATATAATTTTCCAAAGTACAGTTTATGGATTACAAAGGCTTCCCCCCCATAACTTTCCTCCCACCCACAACCCTCCCATCTCCCACTCCCTCTCCCATTCCATTCACATCAAGATTCATTTTCAATTATCTTTATACACAGAAGATCGAAAGCCCCACTGGGGAAAGCTCACCAGGTGGACTGGAGGAGAGAAAAAACAAGCAAATAAGGGGAACTGGCATGGACATTAACCTCTCTCTCCACTCACCTTACAAAGCCAAGCAAGACAAAGAGCCAGCACCATTTTACGTATGGAAAGAGGCACCGGCCATTAGCCAAGCAGAAAAACCTGACTCTGGTGGGGAGAAATAACAGGAGGTTAAGACCTAGTTAGTGAAAGTGAGGAGCTAATGAACTGAGACTGAAAATCTGAGGGGAGGGCGAGAGAACTCACCGAGTACACAAACTCGGTAACTTGAGCAAACTGGGGAGAGACTATTGAGAAATTAGAGACCACACTGAGGGCTGCATAAACTCTGTGTGTGGTCCCAGGGGTAACCAGACAAATACCCACAGGTGCCAGATTTCATACATCAACTACCCTCAATTCCACTCATCTGTGTGGAATTACTTCCCAACTGAGTCAGAAAAAAAGAGAGAGAGAGAGAGTGAGAGAGAGTGAGCAAATGAGAGAACAATCTGGGTGAGTCACTTTTGGCACACCCTTATCCCCGAAGAACCAAACAGAACTCTCTGGCCACACCCATCACAGTCTCTAAGGATCCATCAAAAGCAGACAGTCCACTTAATCTAGAGTCACGGTATAGCGAGAAGAAACCAAATATCTCCAATGTGCCAAACAACAAACGCAGAAACTGAGGTAGCAAGAACAAGGAAGACACTATGACACCCCCAAATGAAATAGACACCCCAATTCAAGATTATGAAGATGATGAGATAGAAGAAATGCAAGAAGCAGATCTCAAAAAATTGATAAGAACATTAAGAAGTTCTCAAAAACAAATTCTTGAACTACAGAAATCCTTAATAGGCAAGATAGAAAATCTCTCTCACGAAAATGAAATATTAAGGAGGAATCAAAATGAAATGAAACAACTAGTAGAACATGAAACTGTGAGAGTGATGAGATATCATAATGAAATGAAGAATTCAATTGATCAAATGAAAAACACATTAAAGAGCCTTAAAAACAGAATGGGTGAAGCGAAGAGAGAATATTGGACTTAGAAGACAGAGCACAGGAAAATATACAGTCAAACCAAAGAAAAGAAGAGGAAATTAGAAATCTAAAAAATATTGTTGGGAATCTTCAAGATACTATTAAAAAAACAAAAATTCGAGTTCTAGGAGTTCCTGAAGGCATGGAGAGGGAGAAAGGTTTAGAAGGCCTTTTTAGTGAGATACTAGCAGAAAATTTCCCATGTTTGGAGAAGGACAGAGACATCCTAGTACAGGAAGCTAATAGAACTCACCACATTGAAACATAAAGAAAAGATCCTAAAATGTGCAAGAGAGAAATGTCAGATTACTCTCAGAGGATCTCCAATCAGACTCACAGCTGACTTCTCATCAGAAACCCTACAAGCTAGGAGGGAATGGTGAGATATAGCCCAGGTACTAAGAGAGAACAACTGCCAGCCCAGAATATTATACCCTGCAAAGCTATCATTTGTGAATGAAGGTGAAATAAAGACCTTTCACAGAAAAGAGAAGTCGAAAGAATTTGTTGCCACTCGTCCGGCCCTGCAAAAGATGCTTAAATATGTGTTACACACAGAAACACACAAACACGGTCATCAATATGAAAGAAGGTAAACGAAGGAAACCTCACAGCAAAAGATCACAGGAAGTTCAAAAAAAAAATTGAAAATATCCTAGGCAAATGGCAGGGCAAAGTTACTACTTAGCAATAGTCACATTGAACGTTAATGGCCTGAACTGTCCAGTTAAAAGACACAGATTGGCTGACTGGGTAAAGGAACAAAACCCATCTATTTGCTGCTTACAAGAAACACATCTTTCCAGCAAAGATGCATACAGACTGAAAGTGAAAGGCTGGAAAAAGATATACCATGCCAGCAGAAATGAAAAAAGAGTGGACGTAGCCATCTTAATATCAGACAACATAAACTTTACCACAAAAACTGTTAAGAGAGACAAAGAGGGGCACTATATAATGATCAAGGGATCAATTCAACAGGAAGATATAATGATTATCAACATATATGCACCTAATTACTGGGCACAGGTTTATTTAAAAGATTTGTTAAGGGACTTAAAGGGAGATTTAGACCCCAATACAATAGTACTGGGGGACTTCAATACTCCCCTCTCAGAAATAGACAGATCAACAGGACAGAAGATCAACAAGGAGAAAGTAGGTTTAAATGACACTATAGCCCAAATGGATCTAACAGATATATACAGAACTTTTCATCCTACACAGAAAGCATTTACATTCTTCTCAGCAGTACATGGAACCTTCTCTAGGATTGACCACATACTAGGCCATAAAGCAAGTCTCAGCAAATTCAAAAGAATTAGAATCATACCATGCAGCTTCTCAGACCACAGCGAAATGAAGTTGGAAATTAGCAACTCAGGAATCCCTAGAGCATACACAAACACATGGAGATTGAACAACATGCTCCTGAATGAACAATGGGTCATAGAAGAAATTAAAAGAGAAATCAAAAATTTTCTGAAAGTAAATGAGGATAACAGCACAACATACCAAAACTTATGGGACGCAGCAAAAGCAGTGTTAAGAGGAAAGTTTATATCAATTGGTGCCTACATCAAGAAATTGGAAAGGCACCAAAGAGATGAGCTTTCAATGCATCTCATGGATCTAGAAAACCTACAGCAAACCAGACCCAAATCTAGTAGGAGAAGAGAAATAATTAAATTCAGAGAAGAAATCAACAGGATTGAATCCAAAAAAATTTACAAAACATCAGCCAAACGAGGAGCTGGTTTTTTGAAAAAATAAACAAAATTGACACCCCATTGGCCCAACTAACTAAAAAAAGAAAAGACCCAAATCAAATCAGAGATGAAAAAGGAAACATAATAACAGACTCCACAGAAATAAAAAGAATCATCAGAATCTACTACAAGGACTTGTATGCCAGCAACAGGGAAACCTATCAGAAATGGATAGATTCCTGGACTCATGCAACCTACCTAAATTGAACCATGAAGACATAGAAAACCTGAACAGACCCATAACTCTGAGAGAAATTGAAACAGTAATAAAGGCCCTCCCAACAAAGAAAAGCCCAGGACCAGATGGATTCACTGCTGAATTCTACCAGACATTTAAAGAAGAACTGACTCCAATTCTTCTCAAACTATTCAGAACAATTGAAAAAGAGGGAATCCTCCCAAATTCTTTCTATGAAGCCAGCATCACCTTAATTCCTAAGCCGGAAATAGATACAGCATTGAAAGAGAATTACAGACCAATATCCCTGATGAACATAGATGCAAAAATCCTCAATAAAATTCTGGTCAATAGAATGCAACAACATATCAGAAAGATCATCCACCCAGACCAAGTAGGATTTATCCCTGGTATGCATGGATGGTTTAATGTGCGCAAGACAATCAATGTGACACACCACATTAACAGACTACAGAAGAAAAACAATGTGATTATTTCCATAGATGCCAAGAAGGCATTTGATAAAATACAACAACATTTCATGATGAAAACTCTAAGCAAACTGGGTATGGAAGGAACATTCCTTAATACAATCAAAGCAATTTATGAAAAACCAACGGCCAACATCCTATTGAATGGGGAAAAGTTGGAAGCATTTCCACTGAGATCTGGTATGAGACAGGGATGCCCACTCTCAGAACTGCCATTCAATATAGTTCTGGAAGTTCTAGCCAGAACTATTAGGCAGGAAAAAGAAATTAAAGGGATACAAATTGGGAAGGAAGAACTCAAACTACCCCTCTTTGCAGATGATATGATTCTTTATTTAGGGGACCCAAGACACTCTACTAAGACACTATTGGAACTCATAGAAGAGTTTGGCAAAGTAGCAGGATATAAAATCAATGCACAAAAATCAACAACCTATATATACACAGGCAATGCCACGGCTGAGAAAGAACTTCTAAGATCAATCCCATTCACAATAGCTACAAAAACAATCAAATACCCTGGAATAAACTTAACCAAGGATGTTAAGGATCTCTATGATGAAAATTACAAAACCTTAAAGAAAGAAATAGAAGAGGATACCAAAAAAATGGAAAAATCTTCCATGCTCATGGATTAGAAGAATCAACATCATCAAAATGTCTATTCTCCCAAAAGCAATTTATACATTCAATGCAATACCAATCAAGATACCAAAGACATTCTTCTCAGATCTGGAAAAAATGATGCTGAAATGCATATGGAGACACAGGAGACCTCAAATAGCTAAAGCAATCTTGTACAACAAAAACAAAGCCGGAGGCATCACAATACCAGATTTCAGGACATACTACAGGGCAGGTGTAATCAAAACAGCATGGTACTGGTACAGAAACAGATGGATAGAACATTGGAATAGAATAGAAATACCAGAAATCAATCAACATCTACAGCCAACTTATATTTGATCAAGAATCCAAAACCAATCCCTGGAGTAAGGACAGTCTATTCAATAAATGGTGCTGTGAAAATTGGATTTCCACAGGTAGAAGCATGAAGGAAGACGCCTACCTTTCACCTTACACAAAAATTCACTCAACATGGATTAAAGATTTAAATCTATGACCCGACACCATCAAATTATTAGAGAGCATTGGAGAAACCCTGCAAGATATAGGTACTGGCAAAGACTTCTTGGAAAATACCCTAGAAGCACAGGTAGTCAAAGCCAAAACTAACATTTGGGATTGCATCAAATTGAGAAGTTTTTGTACTTCAAAAGAAACATTCAGGAGAGTGAAGAGGC